GCTGCGCAACCAGGGAGGGCCTGCTACCATATTTTTAAAGTTACAGTGTCAAATGTTTCATTCCTTAATAGTCACAGGCTTCAGGTGGGCTGATGGGAAAGGGCAAACAGAGCCTGTGGGTTTACAAAAAAACAAACAAAACCCACCACATTCTATAACTGAAGTAACAGGAAAGTTTAAAAAATATCTTAGATACATTTTTAGGTATATTTATGACCCAAAGCTAATTTCTAATTTAATTTTAATGGGAGAAAACGTGAAATTTAGGCCTGGAAAGATTCTGATTGTGCTCTACAGCTCTGAATTGTGCCACAAAGCTCAGAACCCAGTCACCTGATCTTTTGGGAGTTCGCAACTGAAGTGGAGAAGGTGGGGTGTGGGGGGGACATGTGGCCACTGGCAGGTTTCACTGCCTCAATAATGACCCGAGAAGCAAAGCATAAACAGCCATGCATCTTATTGTCTTCTTTCAGAAACACCCTGGTGCTTTTTCAGGGCAGGCGAAGCACTGCAGGATGTCTGTTCTCTGGGTGAGCTGCTGGGCCCGGGTCCCCGTGCTGTCTGGAGAGTCCTTCAGGCCAGTCTGCAGTAGAAACTCAACACAGGCCTTGTGCTGCCCTGCGCAGGCCAGGTGCAGGGCTGAGTAGAAACAGAAGCCACAGGAACTTAGTGCATGACCCCCAGAGCAATAATGACCTGGTGAGGGGGCTGCTGGTTTTTTTCAACTACACACTATCATATGTCCATAATTCATCCCTTTGACTCTGCTTGTATGGGATCAAAACATTCTTCCTTTTTATCAAACTGAGTAGGAAATGTTTTAAAGATAACAAAACCAGTTTGAGAGGATTTAAGAGATTTGTCTAGAGCAACAAGAACAATAAAAAACCTACTGCCAAATTTGGTTAAAGATTCATTCTGGTTTAAGATCAGCAATGAGGGATTCTGCTGCATGGCATGGTGGACTGCTCTGAGGTCCTTGTGGAGAAAAAGTCTGTGATTGTTCACCAATATCATTAGCTGTGAGTCTTTTAAGCACCACTATTATTCTACTAAACCCATGCAAGGGGGCCATCTGCACACAAAATGTTTTTAGAGGGCTTATTACAAAGCTCATGTCTAAATAATTAACTCTGAAAATACCTACCTCATCCCTAAATTTAAAAAATTATAGTGAATGTAGTTTTTAAATACATTCCAAAGAGATATGACCTATGAAGAATCTATGTGATATCTGGTGTCATTGTAGATTAAGAAATGTATTATTTAAAATAATAAAAACAGCAACAATGGCAGCAGTAATGAGCAGTAGGCATTATCACTGCCTTGGTAAGAGTCATAGTTAAAGAGCTTTGCAAACAGAGAAGTTATTTTAAGGAAAAGTTGCTGAGCTACTAGACAAATAATATTAAAACCAATGTTTTTAATATAAAAGTTCATGCATTGTTTACATTCAATTTACTAATATTCTAAGCAGATGCCAAATGAAGTCATTACCTGATCTATTTTTTTCATCTTTAGAGTTGATGTCAGCACCCAAGGATAAGAGCGTCTGGATTGTGCTCACATGTCCTTCCTGAGTATTGAAATAAACCTGTTATCACTGCAACCAGGACAAAAGCATCCTTTAAACACAACCTCAAATGTATATTAGGTATTTTCTGTAAAATATTCAACTGCTAAAACTGAATTTTCAGTTTTTCTAAAGGAAGACAGTACTTATATGACATTTAACTAAAGATGTTAACATTTAGGTACTAGAATAGAGATGAACAACTTTTTAGGCCAAACCGTCAATCAGTACAGTTGGGTGTGAGTAGAGTACAGATTTGTGACTTAGACAGAACACATAGGTCTAAAATCTTTAAAGCAAGCATGCTCAACAAAAATCTTTAGGGCAAAGGTAAACTGGGAGAGCTGTAATCTCCCTTGGATGGATTCTTATTAGAACTAGAACATTCTTATCACTCTACTATTTATGAAGCAATTTATATACTTCTTGTCAGCCCGTTAGCCCATAAGTATGTGGTGAGACAAAAATGAAGACTGCAGGTCCCATCTTCACATGGAAAGACCAGCTTTTTCCCCCTGGGGTCACAGATGATACTTTTAACCCACCCTCCTCTTTCTGACCCCTTTCTCATAGGGAGACTGGAGGCAGGAGAGTGGAGCTCAGGAAAAATTTATCCCTGTAACTACAAAAACAAATAAAGGCAGATAACATATAAGCCAGGCGCATATAACCAGATGTTTTCCTTGTAAAAACTTTTTTTGTGTGTGTCTTAAACATTTTATACACTGAAAAGCCCAAGCCCAGTTAATGCATACTAGCTACAGTTAAAGAAACCTTAACAAATTTAACACAATTCTGCAAATAACATTAATATTCTTGAAAAAAAAAAAGGTGTGAAGGAATGCAAAGTTCAGGCATTCACATGGAATGAAGGTATTTTTTATAGTTTTTACATTCGAAAAAAGTAAAGCCATGTTTCTACTTAAATGGACACAGGGCTTCAGAATCATGAACATTTCAGGAGTCAGTGATGGGTGGTTTCTTCTACAGGTGGAGCTAAAATCAGCCCTCAGGAGGAAGTAAGCAGCAACAGAACAAAACAAGCCAAGGCAGCAAGGACACAGCTACAAGGAGAAACAGACCTTAGCTGCATAATGAAGCGCTGTGAGGTGGGTGGCTGCTGCTCTCACATCAACGTTAGTGCCGAGTTCAGAGACCAAGAATCGGATGGCTTCGTTCTGCCCAGTGACTGCCGCCCTGTGGATAGCCTGGGCCCCCAGAGAATCCTCTGCTGAAACATCAACCTAACAGATTGGGCAGAGGACAAAAATAAGAAGCAGAGGAACACTGGTTGATGGCTTTGTTGACATTCTGGCAATATTTTGTTGCCTATGAACATTTTTTTGGCAGCTCCTTCGAGGATTTTGGCCAAAAAAAAAGTCCATATTCAACCATCTAGGCTAAAGCATGAGTGTAGTCCATAGGGAACAAAAAGTAGTTTGAATATTAACTTTGCTAACCTTCTTTTGGTGACATTAGTCACCGTTTTATTTCATTTATTTTCCACGACCATCCCTCATGACCACTTTGATCCTTTCTCCCTCCTCTTCCCTTATCTTAAAACCTCACTTTGTTTATTGTCACTAGTTTTTCTAAGCATTTTACCTTATCAAATCACCTACAATGTTAATAAATTGTTATTTTGTTTTACTACACATAATTCCCTCAAATACCTACTTTGTTTTTCTTTATGACTAAATAGTATCCCATAGCATAGAATACCACACCTTAATCCAAACTTCCAGTGATGAGCATTTAGGCTGCTTCTGTATCCTAACTATTGTAAAAAGTGCTGCAACACTGCAGAACATACAGTTTTTTTAGTCCATAATTTTACATTCTCTGGATAAGATGCCCAGGAGTGGAACTTCTGGGTCATATGTAAGGTACTTCTAGATCCCTTTCCAAAAAGTTGCATCAATCGACACTTCTACCAACAGTGCAATAGTGTCTTGCTACCGATCTTAAAAGGGAGAGCTCTCAGCTTTCACCATTAAGTATTATGTTAGCTGTAGTTGTAAAATATGACTCATTATATTAAGATTCCTTCTATATTTAACTTGTTTAGAGTTTTTATCATAAATGGTACTGAATCTTTCTCTGCATCTATTGACATCATGATTTTTACTTTTTGTTGATTTTTAGCTTTCCTTTTGCAAAATGCATTACTGTGATTCATTCAGTCTGTCTCCACTTTACAGATAGAAAGACTGAGGTCAAGGGGCCCACAGGGGGGTTGTGACAGAGCTGGGTTCGAGCCCAGGATTTGAAAAACTATTTTTCCTACTTATTCTATGACTTAAATTTTATAGGAAGAACCAAAGGGATATAAGCAAATCACTTCAATACCTTGTGTGTTTCGAGGAGTAGCCTGGCTAACGTGATGTGACCACACTGAATTGCATCCATAAATGGTGTGACACCACACCTGTCTCTGCAGTCTGGTTCATAATGGCACCTAGAGCCCAAGCCCAAAATAACAGAATTTAGAAAGTCATTGCTTCAAACTCAGTGGACAGTGACTCTTAACCAACTACAGTAAATGAGATGCCTTCAAAGGACTGTGAAAATCTGAAGTACTCGCACATTCTCCCTCTCCACACACTCATGATGTCAACATCACCTCCAATGGTCAGGATGTTACACCTGCTTGCCTCTTGCCAGGTTCTGCCTCCCTGTGTTTACTGCAGCCCACCTTTCCCCCAGCCTATTTCTACCAGGGCTGAAGGGCTGCCACAAGTCTTTCTGTCCTAACTTCTTTATTGTCCCACCTTCTGTCCCTGTCTTCCTTGTCCTACTTCTTCATGTTCCTATCTTCATCATTCTTTTTCTTCCTGGCCCTAACTTCCAGTCTTCTTGGTCCTAACTTTCAGGAATACTACCTTCTTCATGTTTCCACTATGTTTTTGAGCTCACATGTCCCCAGTCCTACCTTCTTCTGGTACTTTCTTTTTCCTCTCCCCCTACCAGTCTTACCTCCCTCTGGTCCAACACACCATTTATCCCATCTCCTTCTATTCTACCCTCTTCTGATCCTGTATTTGTTCAGTTGTACTGGCCTTACCATCTTGTGGGTCCTTCTAAAAGTCCTGCCTATTCACTTTATACTTTTCTACTCCAATCTTGATTTTGGTTTTAATTCTTTTTGGTCCTACCTCTTCCCATTTATACCTTTTATCATCTTCTACATTCTTCTGTTCTTACTTTCGATGGGTTCTACCATCTTCTTAGTACTACTTTCTTCTCAAACCTACCCCTTGAAATCTTCCCATCCTGTTTCTACCTTCGACCTGACCTACATTCTTCTGGTCCTACCTACTTTGGGTCCAACCCTCTACCTGTCCTACCTTCTTCCTCTCTGATCTTCTACCACTCTCACCAGGAGCCAGTCCTGCTTACTACCTATTCTGCCATCTTGGTCCTACCTTCTACCAGTCCTGCTGTCTTCTTGGTCCTACCTTATTCATTCTCCTATCTTTTTTCAGCTCCTACTTTCTACATGAGTCCTATTTCCTGGTCCTATCTTCCTCAGCTCCCACCTCTTTCATGGCCTACCTTCTTTTCCTCCAGTTGCCCAGCCCTTTGCTACCTTTCCATTTTTTAATCCTCTCTGTTCCAAATATTAGTTTTTCATTCTTCACTTGGCAAACTCCAACTAACACTTCAAATAAAAGCTTCAATGTAATCTAAACAGGCCTGTCTTCTTTGCCTAGTCTTGTTCTGCACTTTTCCTTGGTAGTATTAACTTAATTTATAATTTTATATCTATTTGTACATTTGTCTATACTTGGCTTCCACACTATCCTAGAGGTAGTTAGGGGAAGGTCTGTGTTGGTTTTGCTTACCATCTAGCACCTGACACACAGGAAATACTCAAAAAATGGGTGAAATTTTTGGTGACTAATGAATATTTATAAATTTGAAGGCAATCAAGAATGTTCTAATTTATAGAAGGCAAATCCTAGTGCATATAAACAATGCTTTCAGTGCTGCATTAAGCCCTCCTCTCTCTTTACTATACATCGTTTCCTCAGGTAATCTCTGCCTCTTATGGAATCAATCATCATTTCTATGTTGATGAGGTAAACATTTCTATTTTAATCCATATTTCTTCGAACTTTAGGTCTGTGTTGGCACCTGCTTGCCATCTTGGTTTGGATGTACCACTGGCATATTCAGTCTCCATGACTAAAAGGGAAATTATCATCTGTACCCCACCTCCCCAAACTTGCTCCTCCTTGAGTGTTCTCCATCTCAGTAAAAACAAAGCAGCACTACTGCCAGTTACTTAAAAAACCCAAACTCTGCTGTCATCATCTCCCATACTTCTTTTATTGAATTATTCACTTAGATCTGTTGATTCTACTTCTTAAATAGCTCCGAATCTTTCTCTTTATCCCTACAACAGCTTCATAGTCCACTTACCATTATCTTTCCCAATTGGTTTTGTAACACCTGCTCTTGCTATTCCTCTAAATTATTTTAGGTAGTTTAAAATCTTATATCTTATATACATAGAATAAAAAACTAAAATCTCTCACATGGCTGGAGTTATAAAATATGACCAGTACTTCTGTGTGTTTTCATCTCACACCATTCCCCTGACACATACTGACTTCTTTCTTTTCAGATTTTCCAATGCACTGAGCTTTTTCCAAGCTCTGAGATTTCAATGGGAACAACTATCTTTGCCCAGGATGTCCCCTGCTGTCCAATGTCAGCCAACTTCAGGTCAGAGTTTAAACATCACTGGGCCTGAGTCCTCGCTCCTAGGCCAAATGAGGTGTTTCTCTCAGATATTCCCACAGGGATTCTACAATTCCTTGTAATGCTATTCAGATCCACACATTGTACAGTGTCTTTTTTTGTGAGCTCTGGGAAGGGGAAAACCACATTTGAGATCTCTTTTCTATTGTAGCCCCTGCAATTTGGTATACTGGCTAGTTTATTTTAGATACTGAATGAGTTTTTGTTGAATGAACATATAAATGTATTTTTTCTCATATTGCTTAGCTATTTTTGTTTTTAATTCTTTGGATTATCTGCTTATAGCCTTTGCTTATTTTTCTTTTGCTAATCTAGTTTCTTTCTGAACAATCTGAGTACTGTATGCAGCATGAATATTAAATCTGTTATAATTAGCAATTATTCCTCAATTTGCTGTGTTTTTCTTACCTCTGAAGAAGCACCTTTACTGCCTCTAAACAGCCATGCATAGCTGGGAGAAGAGAGTTGAGAATGAGAGCTTCTTAGTGTCTATTTTAAATGTTTCTTTCAACTCCCTGCCCCATCCTTTTAGCTTTGACTTGCAGGAAGAAGTAATTAAATTACATACCACAATATTACACCTTGGATAAACAGTAAAGAATATTTTCACTTTATAGAGACATAGCCAATATCTGATCACCTTGTCTTTATGTACATTTCACTGCATTAAAAAAAATGAATAATATAACTTTATTTTTACATCATTTTGTGCATTTTTCCATCTCAGTTGTAATCCCCTTGGGCTTTCCGTCACCAATCACTGCAATTTTTTTTTTTTAAAGATTTATTTATTTATACAGAACGGGGTACAGGCTAGAGATGCGGAGGTTGAGAGGATTCACCAGAGAGAGTGGGAAGCAGAACAGGCAGATCGACGAAGTACACTGCTGAGGGGAGCAGTGGGCGGGTCAGGAGAGATCTGCCGCACCATGCTCCTCCCGGGCAGGCGGGGATCGAACTCATGTGGAGGTGGCTTTAAGGTTCTTAGTGCAGTGCTTTAAACCACCAGGGAGGGCCCATCACTGCAAATTTTTAGTCCTTACTTCCATGGTCTGAATTCATAGTGTCAGTCAGATTTTTCCCAAAAAATGCAAAAACATTTTAATAGTAATCTATGACAAAATAATCAAGAATTTAATTTTCCTACTAAAAATAAATATAATTAATAAAAAAAATTCTTTGGACTCTGTTCTCTCCTAGTTTATGTGAATGACTGGGTGCTGATTGTTTCTCCAAACGAGTAGAGGAGGTAATCAAACATTTCATGAACAGAGGAAAGTTTTTCTATTCACAGATTTAAAAAGGATTCTTGGGCCCTCCCTGGTGGCATAATGAGTTAAAGCATAGTACTGCAAGGCTAGCCAAAGCCACTTCAACGCCAGTTTGATTCCCGTCCAGAAAGGTGACCCATATGGTGTGGCAGACCTCTCCTGTCTTGCCCACTGCTCCCTTCAGCAGCGTACTTCCATGATCTGCCTGTTTTGTTCCCCACTCCGCCTCTGGTGAATCCTCTCACTGCCCCTGCACCTCTTCTGGCCTGTACCCCAGATCTGTGTGCATAAATAAATAAATCTTTAAAAAGGATTCTTTGGTCCCTAATTGCTCACTGTAGCTATAGAATAATCATATACATGTTTCCTGAACTGTACCATATCACAGGTGTTAATTTTTGGAGAAACTAAAAATTCTGTATTGTAATTCACTGCACTACTTATAGACAGTCGAAGATTATTTTCTATATTTTTTGGTCCAGAGTTCCTTAGTATCTATTTTGTCTAACACCATAGCAGTTTTGCTTTTCACTGATGTAAAATAATCTACAAATGGATAATTCAAAGACTATTACTCCTAACAAAGAACACTGTCTCCCAAATTTACAACTAACATTATCACTGGATACGATAGTCAAGCCCAGATATTTAATTATCAGCACTTATAAGGCTGTATCACTTTTTCCTCCTGCCATTAATCATCACCACCATCATCATCATTACAACAATAACAGTAATGTAAACATGATAAGAATGTGACCAGATGTTCTGTGATACTATGTCAGGCACCAGGCTGAGCAATTCATATTATGTCTGCTCCTTACACGCTATGTCACCCCTGTAACATGAACACCCTTATCATCATTATTTTGGTGATAAGGAAAATTGCTCAAGAGACAGTTCCTTGTCCCAGGTCAATGACCTGTTAGGAGACAGGGAGGGCGGATAAGATAAACATGAAATGAGAACTAATACAAAAAACAAAAAGCACATTAAATACAAAATGACAATTGCTGCAAAAACCAAACATAAGCCAAAGTATATCAAAGCTACTTGTTCCCTTCCCTTATTTTCCCAAACACCAGTCACCTCCCCCATTTTTCAATGGATGACTCAGTCTAGGTGCTGTTTTGCATTAATGGGTAAAGCAGACTGCATATCTTGCCTGTGTCTTTACAGAACTGAAGGTCATACCTGCAGTATGCAAAGGTGTTCTTCTAATTCTGCTCTCTGTCTTCCAGGCAGCTGGGCAAACTGTAAGCAAGTACTGGAGAACCAGAGGATCGCCTTCTCGGCTGGCAATGTGGAAACTGTTCCAGCCATCCTTGTTTCTCAGGAGTGGATTTGCACCGTGGTCTACAAGTTCCTGGATCACCTCGAGATTCTTCTTTGTGCAAGCCATCATCAGAGGAGTCCTAAAGCCAATCAGGACAAGCTGTCAGATGGAAAAGCAGCTGAAACATTAGAAGTGTGCAGTTAGGTTTTTAGAAAATGTACATCTTTGGCAGAGATGGAAATTCTAGAGGATTTGAGAATCTGGGAAGGAGGAAAAGAGTTTTCACTGGCAACTTCCCTGCCTGCTGTGAGGACCCTAAGAGAAATAACAAGAAGAAAAATGATTATAATGCAGGCATGCTTGCAGAAGAATACTGAGGAGGACAAGCTACTTCTGAACTAGTTTATATATAGTAGGGCAGTGAACTGAGGCAGAGCTGATAAAAATCAGAGAGACTGGCATGAATCATGTTTGCATAATAGGTACTCTCCAATCAGAAAATGAGTCTGAAAAGAGCACTTGACATAGCACCTGTTCATAAAGAGCCCCTGTTCATTGGTGAAGCAAATGAAGCAGTGTGATTATAATAAATTTCTGAACTTAGCTGTGTCCTCACTTATGGGAACATAAACTATATTCATACCAAATTCTGGCCTTTTCCAGGATCAAAGTTAGTGATTTCACTTTTGTAAACTTCCAGTTCCTTCTTTGCAAAATGAGGGAGCTGAGGTCCTGGAAAGCTGAAGCAAGTCTTGTTTACCTTAAATTTGGAGTCTGGCAACTGGCAGAAGTCTAATATAACTGCATGGTCTCAGGGATCTGTCTTCTAGATTGTCATGACATTAATCACCAACACTATAAATACATAAGTATATACACAGTTAATGTAGCAATGAATATCAGATAAAAAACTCAGATAAGTGAGAGTTGGAATCTTTCAGAGGGTTTCACAGAGGGAATGAATCTTGAGTAGGAAGGAAGATATTTCAGAAAGGCAGAAAAATGGAAATGGGCAGAAATTCTTCTATATTTTTTTAAGATTTACTTTTATTTATGCATATAAGACCTGGGGTGTAGGCCAGAGGGGGGTGGAGGTAGGTGGGGGGGATGGAAAGGGGGGAGTATCCAACAGAGAACGAATGGGGGGCAGAACTGGCAGGTGGGCTGAAATACACTGCTGAGGGCAGCAGTAGGTGAGACAGGAGAGATCTGCTGCATCATGGGGGTCACCTCCCTGGCTGGGGATTGAATCATGCCTAGTGGCTGTGGCTACATAGTGCTGACTCCAATTCCAGTGCTACTAGGGAGCCCCTTTTAATGTTCCCCCAGCTCCCAGGCTATTTCCTTATCCACAGACTTGCTTTCAGGAGTACATGAAGTAATGTAACTTTGGAACTATCTTTAAACTAATTTACCAGCAGCACCAGAAAGTCAGTGTAGTGTAGAGCCAAAGTGTAACCCTCAAAATATAACCATGCCGTCTCTCCAACTCGAGGGGGAAAGACCGCAGTTTATTTAGCTCTTTATGGCTGTGTACTGCGCTTATATCAGATCAGGAATCACTTGCAGGTTGGAACTTGCCCACCTACCAGTCGGCCTTCTTTAGGCAGTCGACCGCGGCTCCGCGGCCCAGCAAGTACCGCACGCAGTCCCGGTGGCCCATGGAGGCAGCCTCATGCAAAGGCCGCTTGTAGTCTCTATTGGTGGCCTCGAAGTCCATGTCCCAGGCCTCGACCAGGTAGGCCAGGACGTCCCGTTGCCCATGGCGGGCGGCCAAGTGCAGGAGGGTGTCCCCGGCCGGTCCAGGGCAGCCGGCATTCCCAGCCCGGCCTCGTGCGCGCTGCAGCTCCTCTCGCAGGGCGCACAGCCGGCCCTCCTGCACCAGCCTGCAGAGCCGCCGCGGGTCCCCGGGTGCAGTCATGCGTCCCCAGTCTTGTCCTTCGCGCGGTGGAGTGTCTGAAGCTCGGGGACTTCGATTTTCCGAACGGTTCCACCCCCGATGGCCCGGCCCTGTCCGGCGAAGAGACGGGTCACATTTCTAAACTGGGAAGGGTTAGACCCGAAGCAAAGAGGTTGCTTCATGGGCGGCTAGGAACATGCACTCCAGGGGCTTTCAGGTGCAGCCCCCTACACTGGCCTCATTTGGGAACCAGTGGGTAATGGGGGTGCAGTCGCGGAACTCGCACGGCTTCAAGGCGCGCCCGGGCTCTGATCGCCTCTAGGGGTGGAGGAGGTGGGCTCCAGAGCTGCCCGCATCTCAGAGGCAGCGGCACCCGGCCGCGGGCCCTCGGAGGCGGGGGTGGGCCCGCGCTTGTCGTCACCCGCAGCCCCTCCCTCCCAGCCGCTGTCACCCCCACCCCGCCGCGGGGCCCCGGGAGCTCGGAGGAACTCTGGGAAAGTTTCCAGTCGCCTTCCCGACCCTAGCGGAAGCTCGAGCGGGCGGGGCTGGATCAGCGGCCGCGCCCCCTCCAGGAGCGCGCTCCTATTGGCCATCTGAACAGTCCGTCCTCGATCCCCCGCCGCACAAAGGTTCCGATTGGCCGCGGGGGCAGTCTGTCCAGTCCGGCGGCGGGCTCTTCCCTGGGCTGTGGCAGGGGCGGCGCAGGCGGAGGAAGTCCGGGGCCTGTTCTGGCTGTAGCTGCCCAGGGGACGCCGGGACTGGGAGGCCGGGCGGCCGGGTTCGGCGGCGGCGGGAGCCCTGGTCTGGAGCGCCCTAGTGCGTGAGGCCGCGGACGTGGCAGGATGCGCGGGCGGGACCCTACCTGTGGACACTTAGCCTTTTGGGGTTCTGAGGGAGGATCCGGCCTCGGGGTCAGCGAGCCGGTCTGGGGGGAAGGTGGGGGTCCGGCTCCGGGCGGAGCGCTAGTGTGTCTGGGGCGGCCTGTCTTCGGGGGCTCGGCGGGGCGTGCAGGGAGGAGGAGGCCGAGGGGCACCCCCCACGCTGCGTCCTGAGCTCGGAGGAGAGGGGCGCTCGTTGTTTCTTGGCGATTGTAGGAGTCACGGGGGACATGGTATTGGCTGCCGGCAAGCCAGGAATTCCTTTTCCACTCTGATGTTTTGACCTTGGGCGAGTCATTTTATTGTGTCCCCTTCACCGCTTTCCACCCTTCCTTCCCCATACCTGAATAGTAAGAAAATTAATGTGATGTCGGAAGGTCTTGAGGTGGTGGAGGATATTGAGATCTCAGCAAACTGTATGGAGTGGTGGGAAAGGAGACTGGTAGGTGTTGAATTCTTCACCTGATTGTGTTAGGTACTTTCGGTGTTTCAGTTCCTTTAGAGATAAAATTGTCAGGCCTATAAACAATTATGCTTTACATTTCGTCTTGTAGTCTGTGGTTTACAAAAACACTACATTAATTGTCTAGTCTGGCTAGTAGCCTTGTGAGGCATTACACGAGGGGAAATTGAGGCCTAAAGAAGTTAGTGATTTTCCTACTGGAAGGAAGAACCATACATACTATTTAGTGAATGGCTACTATGGTCCGCATTGTGGTCACATAAATTAAGGGAGACAAAATGAAAATAGACTTCTGGTATGAAAACAAGCCTGCTTTACTGATGAGCAGATTAAATTTGTTTAACTTATGAAATATATAGTCATTGGGGACAGAGCTCGATCAAATATAGGCTTTGTCAAAGTGATTGTTCAGTTTCAAAAACAGGAAGGCATAAATGTGCTTTAAAGTGAGTAAAGTTTTAGAACATGCCAAGCATTTTTCTAAATGCTGCTGCTGGACTCAGTGCAAATGGAGGTTGAGACTCCTGGTAGGCTAACACTTTTTGCAGCAAATGCTCCCGGCACCCTATATCATTCCACCTTTCCTTGACATGTGTATCCAGTTTCCCTGATTTTTAAAACAAAAGTAGGACACATGGATGCACACAAGTAGATTATTTGAAATCCAGGTAACTGTTTACTTCAGTAGTGTTCCAAATGCTATCTGCCTTTTTACTTTGTGGCTCCTTTTCGTCGATGTGAAACTCTACAACTCCAGTGATCTTCAGAGCAAAAGTCAGTCTACGGAGAAGGATCTGCACATTAAACAATGGGATGAAGCTTTTTGTACATCTCCCAGGTTTTCCAGTTGGGCTGCCCATTTCTTTAGTGCAGGCTTTGGAGTTGTGGTCTGGCCCTTATGGTTTCATTTCACATGTAGTCATTGTTGACATCATGATTTGTTACTTGGCTGTTTTCTTTCCTTTTCTTTCATTGCATATCCTGATAATGTGGCATTAGCGATGGGCATTGAGGTCATGACCATTTGATTTTATGTGACCTGTAACTGTGTGTGACTTGGTTCTCTAATTTCAGATTTGATGTCTTCAGCTTTTGTACTTCTCATATCCCTCTATCTTTCCTAGGCTGATTTTATTTGAAGACTGAATTTGGATTCTGACTTTGCTTTTCTGACTGTGAAATATATCTCCAAAGCATCTTAGATCTTATGTCTTCAGCTGTCTCTCACATGTCAGAACCATATTTCAAAGTTCTTCCTGGAGCTTAACCTGACATTCCACAAATAACTTTAAAACAAAACAACTATTTTCAAAACTGAAAACTCTTGTCCTGCCTCACTCCAGGAAAATGTGGTTAGAACAAAAAATACGATTTCTCCCTTATCTGGTAATGACATTATTAAGTTCTAGCTAGAAATATCAGTTGTCTTTGCTGTTCTTTGTCTTCTAGTCTTTTCCAAAAGGACATTGGTCTTCACTTTTCCCTATTTTTGTTGCAGCAGCTCTTAGGCCTTTCCCAGTTCTTGCCTCAGTTAATAAAGTGCTTTCTGTTTTGACAATCTCTGTGTCAACTGATCCTCTACCCAGATTCTGGAGCTGCTATTCTAAAGTGAGTACACTGCTTAGAAGCTCCATGATTCCCTGAATTGCCTGCATGATAAAATTCAATTTACTTAGCATAATATCTAAGGACCGTCTAGTCTGTGCCTCCTAATTTCTTTTCTTCATGAACCTTGTTCTAATGAAACCCAACTTCTTTGCCATACCAATACTTTGTTCTTTGTGTTTTTCTATATACTTCTTTTGCCTTACTTGATCCTATTCATCTTTCAAGGCTGAATTCTTGATAAAGCCTTTTGCAGGCTTTGCTAAGCTACTCACTGTTCTCTTCTGTTGCCTTATGTATGGTAATTTGTGTTTGTTATGTTAGTACCTTATAGGCTGGCTAACTCTTAGTCATATTTTTTGTATCCTTAATGACTAAAATAGCATTTGACACCAGAGATATTAAGAAAGGAAGCTGTCAGTTTTAAAGAATTTGAGAAATAGTAGACAACTAAGTGGTTGTGAAATGGGTTGACATTAGAAAAAGCCTTTCAGAACACACAAAAATGCATTTTGTTCTGCAGATAATGATCATTTTCTTTTCTTTTTTCACCATTCCCTTTTCCTATTGAGAAACACACTTAAAGAAAAGCTCTCTCCTACTTGTTTATTACAGTAAATGAGTGCTGTCTCCAGAGGAGGAATAGGTGTTTGCAGGGATGATGAGGCTCCCAGGAACATTGAGCCTGCAACTCAGACCTTTTGGGTAGTTAGAGAAACAGGATGTGGTGCTGGCAGGGACTTGGCTTTTTTAGCAGAGTGAGCACTCTGGAAAGGAACTAGCACTGTGGTTCTTTCTTTCTGTTTGTTTCTTTTAGAGCTAATGGCACAAATATTTTCAAGTTTTACTGTTTTGATTGTATAGTACATTCCTTCTAGTTACATTTTCTAAGTTACTTGCTTGTTAAGTCTCTGATGGTGCTATTTCATCTTGATTTTAAAAAATGACACAGAACTGAAACCTGAAGTTTTTTTTTTTTCCCCAAAATATATTTATGCATACTAGAACTGGGTGTGTACAGGCCAGAGGTGCAGGGGATGAGAGTGTTCACCAGAGACAGAGTGGGGAGCAAAACAGGTGGATCTTTTGAAATATACTGCTGAGGGGAGCAACTGTCAGGACAGGAGGTCTGCTGCACCATGTGGGTCACCTCCCTGACCGAGGATCGAACTTGTGCTGCAGTGGCCTTGAATAGCTTCATAGTGCTTTAACACATGGGACCAAAACCTGAAGTTTTTAGAAACTTAAATCTTTCTAGATATAGAAGGGAGAATGTAGAAAGAAAGCTGGACTTGGAGACTCAGAAGACCTAGTTTTGTTACCTATAAGCTATGTCGTGACTTTAATTAAGTCTCCTTTGAGCCCAGGTCAGCTGTGGAAGAGGATAGTATGTGATCAAATGAGAACATGGGAAAAAACTTTAAAAAATATGACATACTTAGGAACTTGCAGTTAATTTAATTTAATTTCAAAGCCAAGGAAGACAACGTCAACCTCTGTAGAGGGAAGCGCTATAGTTGTGCACTACATTTGTTCACTTATTTGGTATTTTTTGTGGCGAATTAGGTGCTGGGGCTGAGTGCTTCACTTTTTCCTTCCTGCACTAGACCATAAAACTTTCAGTTAGGTGTAGAAGACATGTTCATATACACAATTTTTAATAATATATAACAAAATGTAGTGATTTGTATATACGACATACTAAACATTTAGTTATACAAATCATTGGTACAAATATCCCAGAAACATACTGTTGACTTTATTACTGCAAAGAACTTCTGGACTTGAATGAATACTTTCTCCAGCTGCAGTTGGGGAATAACATTGTTAACTATGTTTAAGTTGGACTCTTAGGTCACACTGATTCACTTTACCTTGTAACCTGTGAAATACATGATTCTTGTAATAAGGACTGCATTCTAGTGCACCTCTCCCTTCTCTGTAGAAATAGAAGAAGTAAAGTAAACTTCTTGATCTTCACAGAGCCCCTCAGAGAAAAGTGACTTGTGGAGAACTTACAAGATGAGGGTAGGTAACTCGGTAGGTTACTTAGTTAAAGTGCCCTCTCCAGTTCTTAAATGCATAGTCTCCCGTCAAGCACCCTGTACTGGAGCATTACATTGATTTTTTTTTTTTAGGGTAAAAAACAGTGTTTAGTAATAGCCGTTCTCTGCAGGAATTGTGGGCTTTTATTATATTCACCTTATCCAATTAGATTAACCTGTAAGTTTTGATACCAGTTTCAAATGCTCCTGAATAATTAGGGTGAATCTGGCTACAGGAGCAAATAGAACCAAATGTGTAATGAGTTCACAATTGAAGTTTATTTCCCTATCACATAACAGTGTGAGTTGTCCAAGTTGTGGGGGGAGGGGGTGGGGGGAAAGAGAAAGAGAGAGATTTCTGTTGACTAAGGGAAAGAGAAATGGTGGGAGCTCAGTCAAGACCACATCTACCTGTAAGCTAAGAAAGGGAATTGTAGGTTAGCTATGTACCAAGGAAGATGAGAAGCCACGGTTTTGTCACAAACATGCTAAAGTATTCTCTTGCACTTACAAGTTGTTTTGCAGGAAAGATTAAGAAAGGAAGCTAGACAGATTAAAACAATAGAAGAATCATATCCAAATAATTCATATTTAACAAATATTTGAATAGCTATTATTTGCAAAGTAGTGGGCCACTTTGAGGAATAGTAATAATAATAATAACAGTAATAATACTTCTTGTCTCTTGGGGCATTATTGTATATGGACTCATTGAGAAATAAATGTGGTTCAAGGAAGGCTGATAAGAGTCTGTTCCTCCCCCCACGCCCATCCCTGACTAGAGAGTGGGATAGGTTAGAAGGGGGGCTGTGGTGGAACAGGTAT